GGTGCTTTGCGGCTCGTGCTCAAGGCCCGCGAGCGATCACTCAACCGCTAGCATATTACACGTAGTACATTACCGCGTCCTGTTGGTCAAAAGTCAAACACTCTAACCCACTAATGACGGCTAAAAAGCCAGCAGTGGTCTTGGTCAGTAACGTCATTTAAACTGCGTTTAAAAGTCGGCATCCTGGCGTGACGGGGGGACTTAAGTAATCATTTCTAATCGAAAACATATTTCACGTCAAGAGTACACTGGACATGCATCAAACTTCTCATTCATCAACCACACATTTTTGTATGCGATCTACCAAGCACGTTCTTCCAATTGCAATAATTATACTACTCGTAATAAATGAGTAGGCGTGTATGTTTATTCTTTTCGGATAACCGACGACTGCTCACTTTTCGATTGCGATTATGCAAACGACGTTTTTTTTTCAAATTTTCTTCTGTATCAATACATTTACTAGCCACTTCTTCTACAAATAGGGAATACAAAGGCATTCGCCTATCTTCCCCTTAATAAAACTAAACTAAAACTTAAGAATTCCAGTTTAAATTCCATGAGATCGGTCACTAAATGTAGGTACCTTTCCTGTTATAATTGACAGCGCGCAGACCATATCACAGCAAATATTTTCAACAGCTCGTGTCAAAAAGTCAAACAATAATGCTACGCGGAAACACTGGGCACCACAGGTGTGGCAATAGGCGAAGTTCAAGCACTCTAGCCGCCCTCCAAACTACTACAACCACATAGAACTGATAGCGTAAGCAACTATGACTGTGAATGAGTAATCGACTTGGTAGTTGCAGAAAAGAAGGAGACCCACGACGATTGAGAATGTTTAAATAACAAAAGGGAAGGGGAACTCAGACCTACCGCATATTATAGTGCGAATGAGAGAAGCGTGCCCCGGGCAGTCTACAAGGGTGATTTGCAGGGCATCTACAGGAGACTCCGGACTGGACAGCTGAGGCGGAATGTTTGTTTTTACAGTGAAGGAGGAGAAGCCCAAGTCCAGGGTGATGCCTCGCTTCTGACTCTGTGGATTCTTGTCAAAGGCTGCTGTGCTGGCCACAGTGCTGAGAGCCTTGCACAGACTGGTCTTTCCAGAGTCCACGTGGCCAAGCACGCCAACATTGACGTTAAGGATCATGTCCACAACGGACTCTAAGGCGTGGAGAAAAGATGGTTCAGCAGCTATTCGTAGGCCAATTCTTAATCTCAACTGTAGGTATGTAAAATCGAAGAAGCGTAATAGGACTGTCATTTTTGTTTAAACAAATCGATGAGGTTAAAAATATTTGGGCGAGAAAAGCCCCGAAATGCGCCCTGTAGGTGTGCTACACCTAACGATGACCAAAATAACCCTTGCTTATGAGGTCAAAGAGATTTGGAGCTGACTTTCATCGGTCGGACAGAAGTTGTGAGGTCTTGAGGTGAGAGCTCTTGAAGACGGTCGTAGAGTGGGTACGCAGTCGATAAAGATCGGTGTACGGCGCGTCCATGGCGCTGGTCACAGTCGACGAAATGTGAGTTCACGACTGAACTGGGTCGGGCTAGTCTCAATAACCAGCAAGACAGGGGGCTATGAGGACGTCACAGCCTTAGGCAAAGAAACGGTACGCAGAACTAGACGGGTTTAAAGGCAGAAAAAATGCTCCAGTTGTACCGCTCAAAAACTAGCTTTGCTATGCTGCCCTTGACCCAGCGCCGCAGCGCACCTGGAGGCTTCGAAGAGGACAACTGAAGACTAGGCTCGACACCATCCGTCAAGTCATAGAAACAGTTATTGAAACTTCTATCTTCGGTCTCCGTCGCTAGAGAAGAGACTGGGTGGAGCTTGTCAGATCCGCCGCCGCAAATCGTCACGAATGGAGGGGTACCGTCCGTGACATAATTGAGGCCGGCTAGATCACAACGGTAACAAATACAAGTAGCGCTCTAAAGAATCCACGCGGTGTCTGAGTATGTCTGATAGCGAGACGCCGGGTTAGCGAACGTCCAAATCATTTCCCGTAGCTAGACGAAGGGATTTGGACCAATAAGATGAGGTTAGTGAAACAATATCGTTGGATCGGCGAGCATCGTCTGAGAAAGAAAGCTGAACAGTACCTACACAGTCACCACAGCGGCGACAGTCGACGTGAAAGTCACGCCTTCTCGGCAGCTAATTGCTGTACTCTAGTGAGAAGTGGCAGAAAAGAAAAACCAGCCAGGTTTCTGGTTAAAACGATATCGGTGACCTCCTTGAACCTGTTGATGCACTAGTGACTAGGTACTTAGCAGTAGTACATGCGAGATGAGTCCTCGTCCGGTGTGTTACACGTATGCACAAAAATAGTAAGGGACTCGTATCGACCCAGAGCAATTGGGTCAACGCAGCTCAGGAATTAGTGTGGCCCCTATTTTGTGATATCGGCGTTACCCATTAAGGGTTAGCTTGCGTATATTACACTTGACTACTCCAAAAACATGCTTAAACAACCCGCAAACACGAAGAATTTTCAAGACTATATATTGCGTTCTGCCGTATAACCAATATTACGAAAGCGTGAAGTTAAATTCGCATCCGCTGAACTTTTAACGGACACTTGAAATGTAAGACAGTAGTGGGTTTTTCAAAAGAACTTCATTTGTGATTGCGACGGTGCCCAGAAACTAAAACGCAGCAGTAGAAGCATTAACTAAAGATACGGTTTCAGGCATATCCTGAAACGCATATTTTTAAAAATATTCCGACTCGTCCGATCAAAACTACGGAGGATAGTGTACGCAACATTTCTTTGAAAAGAACAAAATATGCCCAGAACCAAATGGATCCTGCTCCTCGTGGGTAACTTCGGCAGATTCCGGAATGAACACCGACCGATAGTGATCGTTAGCTACTGCATCTGCGGTCGGTGTTTCCAAAATAACACATCCAAGACGTACGAGATTCCTTCAGCGTACTACAATCACGAGCCGGCGATCGCAACAGTACACTAAGTGAGCACGCTATCTTTCCTCGACCTAAGTAGAGGCCGCACTTTTCTTTTGTATTGAGTTCCCCTTAAACTGTGAAAACCAGTCCCACTGTCGTGCCAAAGTGAAGATCGAAATGTTTGCGCCTAACTAACCTCCGATTTGCTTCATAAGGGCAGTGTTTAAATAAGAAATATCGTCAGCATATTTCGAGAAGGCTCTTGACACTAAACTGTTCATCGATCGTGCAAAACCTTCGCGCATATAGCATCATAGGACGCTGAACGTTTAGACAAGATTCCGTCTTGCGACCATTGCCAGTCCCCGTAGGCACCAAGGGCTAACATGATATATACACTAATAAGGAGACTCAATAGTAGGTGAGACTGTGAGCTACGTTTCCGTAGAAAATATACAGAGCACACAGTTTTCAGCAATCTTAGAATTTCAGCTACCCATGCCGCCAGAAGAGGATGGCAGTCCGTGGATAGTTTCTGCTACAGGCAGAAATGACAGCTTCCGTGAATTGGATTGCTTCCTAACAGTGGGTGACCTTAGCCAAAACGGCAAACGAAGTTGTATTAGTTTAAGGTCCTTTAAAAACCTTATTCACTTGTAGTCTAGGACCGTCACAATTTTGACTGGGAAAATAAGCGGACATGGGAGATCTACCAGTTCACTATTCGAATAGTGATCATACGAGTTTAGGATGGGTGGCTAAACAAATACGACCGTTAGTGCCTGAAAAGTCAGGAATATATTCCTTCATGTTTCATGTTTCATCAATAGAGGGTAGGGAACGGATCCGTGTAAAC